CCGGGGTGATGATCATGGTGGCGGGAGAAGAAATGGGACGCGGGCGTCAGACTGCGGCTTTATATCGTGAGGCCACACGCCGTAGTGCGCAGTGCGAAGCAAGCCGCAGCGTGGCGCTTGCTGCTGCGGATGTCGTAATGATCCGGGAGTGTATCAGTATCACAGGTAGCCCGCTCCAAGTCCCTAGATCTCCTAGGCAGCCCACGAAAACCGAGTGGAGCAGGGGGCAAGTAAGAGCTGTGGCCTGGCCCGAACGGTGAGTGGAGGTGATGAGGAAGCGGAAAGCGATGCAGCACTGCCACATATAAGTACCGAAGCAGGAAATCAACCGAAAATCATCAGAAAATCGGAAACAGCTCTTGCATAGCTCAAAAACAGCTTTGTGTTCTGTCGCAGATATAGATTTATTCATTTATCTATCCAACATAGAGGGCACGGTTATAACGTCCAACTCGGACCGACTTCAACACCAGTTCAGCCATCTGCCTCCAACGACCCCTTCTCGCATTACATCGCGCCGATCCGCTTCCTGGCCAGAAACTGCACAGCAGAATACTCCACCCCCGCCCAAATCTGCGTAAAGTCACCGAGGGATAAAAATAGGAGAAACATATCCAATATGGCCCGGGCTCGAATCGAACGAACAACTCCTCCTTATGTAGGGAAACATGGTATTCAGTGCCGGGGCCGACCATCCGCTACCGGGCCTTCCTCTGATAGCGATGAGCTTGGTTTAACCTGCGAGATTCGAACTCATCGAGGAACAAGACAAAAAGAAACGACAGCCTTGTTATCCAATGCCTAGGCTCGGATCGAACAAGCATCTCCTGCTGATCATTACTGAGAAGGAGATATCCAGTCAAGCGCGTACCATCCGCTCCCAGGCCTTAATATTACAGTGAGGAGCTTCGGTATACCTGCAAACTTCGAAACCACTGAGAGGTAAAAAAAGTGGCAGATATACAGCATGGCCCAGGCTCGAATCGAACGAGCAACTCCTGCTCATGTTTGTAGAGAAACATGGTATCCAGGCACGGAACATCCGCGACCGGGCCTTCATATAACAGTTAGGAGCTTAGTTAACCCAGCGAAATTTGCACTAAGAGGTAAAAGTTCGAACGAGCCTCCCCTGCTTATCATCGTTGAGGATCCGCAAAATACAGTGCAGATGCGGGCCTCCCGATACCAGGCCTTTCTATCGTAGTTAAGAGCAGGAAAATTGGAATTCAACTCACCGAGGAACAAGAAAACACCATTCACGGCACGGGCTCGAATCGAAAAAACATCTCTGCTTACTCTTCGAAGAAGAAATATCTGGTGCAGGCGCGGACTATCCGCTACCGGGCCTTAATATCCTGGTTAGGACCTTATTTAACCCAACAGAAATCTCATCGTACTCACAGATGAACAAGAAAAGAGAGATTCAAGCACGTCCATGGCCCGGGCCCGGGCTCTGCTAAAAATTGAAACATTTCGATTTGGGACCTAGCATGACCGGCCTCGTGTCCCAAGAAATATAACTTGATCGTCCGGGTGCGTTGGAATTGGAGCTTAACGAGGGGTAAGGAATATGCGGATGTCGGCGTCCACACGATGACGAGCAGCGACCACAAGGGAGGAGTCGATACTCGATACGGCGACTGAGCGGTAAAGGCCACTGACGTGTATCAACGCACACGGACCATCCATCATGTGGAACTTGTAACGGGCCCGCCGATCGCGGATCGATGGCAGCGTCCACGAGAATATCTCGACAAGAACCTCGGGTGGGATCCATCGAAGTGGGGAGAGGATCGCTTGATTTTGTGCACGATATCTCGACAGCGAGGTCTGCTCCTCCTCCTCCAACCGCTCCAGCCGATCCCTGGCAGAGTTGCGATATCTCCGTCTTCAGAAACGCCAGACGGGCGCCACTGGTCGAGATCACCGACTGGATGAAGGTCATTTCCGAGCCCTCTGGTGGCTCGTTAGTCGTTAGTAGCTGGTGATGGCGTGGTTCGATGTTAACAGCCGCATCGAAATCAAATGGTTCTGTGACTTCTGTCCGAGCGGCGCCATCACTGACAGCACCAAATTCAGAGCACTTGAAGGTGTTCATCTGGGATGTTCGATTAGGAACAAGGAAACATGATACTGTGAGGCGAGCTACCTGCTCAAATCGAAAAGTTGCGGCGCGGCGGCGGTGGCAAGAAGGAAGACGTGAGTGTCACTGATTAGTCACTAACTAATGGTGACGCGCGACACGTGACCATCGCGTCGCGTCGTGTCCGACCAGGCGCGCTCAATTCGGATTTCGACCGGAAGGGATTCCTGCTTGGAACAGGATGGCACATTTGAAACCCACCACACTCAAAGTCTCCAAAAAATCGAATCCCTCGCCAGGATGCAAAGCGGATAAAGTAGCATCTCAAACTGAAGTCGAAGAGACTGGCGTGTGGCAGTGGCACAGTGCCGTTCTCTAGGTCACGTTGATAAGAGATTTTGGTAAGCTGTCTCTACGTACTCAGCATAGTAAAGCTCCACAATATTATATAACAACTTATAAAATCTTCATACGGAGGGCAGTTCAAAGTCTCCCTGTCCCCTGCCAGCGGCGAGCGAATTTTCCTAGTCGATCCCGCTCCTGGAAGTGAGTGTGAACCCGACGAGGTCGGGCGGAATAAATTCGCGATTTCACCTCGTTGTTGAACGGCACACACTCGGGCGTAACCACTTTTTTGAGTTCCATGGCGCGTCGAGACTGAGCAGCATTTTTTTTTCAATATCCAAGTACAGGTGCCCCGCTGGCGTTCTGTAATTCCTAAACTCTAATTTCTTTTGGCTCTTTGTGTCGGTGTACCTCCGCAATTTACACAACTGACATCGCCTGGCACGGCTTCAAGTTCGCATCAACAAAGGACGGGCGTTGTTGATTGGATTTGTCAGGATGCAACTTCCCTGTTGAAGGCAGTGCAACTTGAAGCGCAACCGAGACCACATGTGATGTGATGGCACTGCCCTGTCCATTACTCACTCTGCACAACGACGAGCATGCACCCACCCATCGCCTATCTGCACCTCCTTCCCGTGGAGGTCTGGCTAGCGTGTTGGACTCTATGCTCTCTTCAGCAACTTCGTCGACTCTCGTTGGTGTGCCGGCTCTTTCGATCCATCTCCCTGCCACTTGTCTTCCGGAGCCAATCCTTCGACGTGGAAGCATTGAGGCGGGGACTTGGCCGGGATAACTGGATGGACCGAGTCCGCCATCTGCATCGGACCGCAGTTCGGCTGGATCGATTGATACAGAGTCCCTACGCGCCATTCGTTCGGTCCTGGAAGGTCGCCTTCATGAATGGCCCCGCCAGTCGCTACCACCCCGAGATCCAAAACATTCACCTCTTCGATGCTATATCGGACAGGGCCGCCTCGACCTTTTCCACTACACTCGGCCTCTATCAGAATCTTTCCGCTCTGGATATTCGGCGGTTTACCATTAACACTGCCTTCCGAACCACCTTGCTGTCTTTGTCGCGTTTGAAAGACCTTACTCTCTTTCATTGCGACATCGTCGCCTGGGATGGCTTCCTGAGGCTGGGAAGCTTGAAGATAACATCCCGACAGGCGCCTAAAGCCAGCGAGGAGCCACTCCAGATAGCGTCCCCAGATACTATTCGCACCCTCAGTCTCTACTGGAGTAGCGAAATGGCTCTCCTGAGGACCGGATACGGACACGCGAAGCTCCCTCATCTGGTCCATCTATCCATTGATGTTTTGCGCGATGTCGACGTCGCCCCGCTGTTCCGTTTCTTGGAACGATGCCCCCAACTTGAATGCCTGGCGATAAAACGTGTTTCTGGTCAATCCACTCGCCCCGATGTCCATCCCTATACCATCCCACTTCTGCGCACCCTCGCGGGACCACCGGAGTTCATCCAATTATTCGCACCCAACCACCCAGTTAGCGGGGTGACCATCCTGGGCGGGGGAGCCAACTTGAACGATCTTATGGACGTATGCATGGATATCTTGCGCAGCCCCCATCCTCTTCATTCCCTTGTGCTCCCCAGCATCACTCCCACACTCGAGTTTTTAGTTGGCATCACACGCTTATTCCCTGAACTCAAGGAGCTGACGATCCTCGTCAAGGGCTACCCAGGATTTCCCTGGGGTGGCGTCTCACGCGGCCGGCGCCGTGCTACAATTCCTGTGGACCAACGGGCGCTTGACCTCTGTGATGATGACGCATTCGATAACCCGCCGGTGGATGACATCTCCGATACCGAGTCGGAAGAGCCGAATCATGCGCCTACCGCGTTCGCACTGCCAGGAGGGGCCTCTGCGACGGAATGTGCTGGACCGGAGATAATGGGCTCCACTGGCATTCATGTGCGCGCCATGCCTATATTTTGGCATCGCTAACGGTTACAGTGGAATATCTTACGCTGGATCTTGGCCGGCCAGCTTAGTCTGCCACCCAATCTTGAAGTCCTTCGGCTGGAGCTGCCGACTAAGGGCGAGGGACTATCTCTTGTACAATCCCATCGGGCTCTCGCAGCCCTCAGCCTCGCGTATCCCCTCCTGCGGAAAGTGCAGTTCGGCTTCCCCTCCAACAGTTGGGAACGAACCGGCGGAATGTGGAAGAGGCAGGTTGAAAGTGCTGAAAGCAGAAAGATTTGAGAGTAGATGGCTACCCTCCCGTGGTCGTCCACAAAGATTCAGTGAATAGCCTGAGGTCACCGTCTGCTTAGCGCGCAACATCTTGTATAAATCTAGGTCGTCCGGTTCAATTTTACAGTGCTACATCATCAAAAAATCGGTTTCATGAGACATCTGGCCGGAGCGTGTATATAATTTGTCGCGATATTGTTCGAGGATAATTCTTGCAGCATGTTGCGCGCTCTTTTCAAGCTAGTGCCTATTTTAGGCGGGACAAAGTTCATCGATCTTTTACATTCATTTGGATACGCGTTGGGCCCTGCTGTTCTCAAAGAAAAAGAGCAAAAAGAAACCACTGCAAGTTATGGCATCACGGTGGCTTGAACACCGGACCTTCAGATTGTCGAATCTCTAAGGAAGAAGTCTGCTGCTCTCCCAACTGAGCTATGACAGTGGAGACTCGCGAGCAGCAGAACAACTCGCTCCGGATATTGCTCCTGGAACACGCCACCACAGGTTTTTGACAACCAACTGATATTGTCTTTATGCAGACGGTAGTCTCGAAAACCGATCCCCGTCTGGCGTCTCTGGAAATCGAGATATCACGACTCCGGGATCGGCTGAAGCAGTTGGAGGAGGAGCGGGCCTTGCTGTCCAGAGACCGTGCGCAGAACCAAGTGATACCCTCACCACTCTGGTCTACATCTTCACCCAAACCCTTTTGTTTCGCTTCTTCTTCCCGCGCACCAACGGCCCCACTATTACCTTGTGGGTACCTGGGATATGCACAAAAGCATTCTAAAATTTGTTCCGAACCTTGTGCATGCTCGGGTTGATATCCTAGTCAACGAGCCTGGCCGAATTCCAGCGTACTCATTGAACTGTTACGTCCCCGCTGTTTATACGTGGGGAATACAAACGCCTTACAGTGCCTCAATGCGCCAGCCTTGCAAGAAATCACTATCTTTCTCCAGAGAGACAGCCATCTAAAGACCCTGCGGCACCTCGACGCCTTTGCCGAAAGCTCTGGTTGTATCCTGTAAAAACTCTCCCTCCGGGCGTTCCCCGACGCCACCACGACTACCCAGATCCTGCGGACATACCCATCACTGCGTTCCGAGGGTCCGTCGGCACAGCCTCTGCCGAGCGACCTCGGCAGAGGTAGGCAGACTGGGATGTAGACAGAGTCTTCCGACCTGTGCCTCTGTCCGGTCTGCACCTCATCGCAACATTAAACTATGAATCAACATTGTTATTGCGCTTGGATGAGCCTCGGATGAGTGTGAGACGCTGTGCGACATCACCGCCATCAGTTTTGATGACCCGGTGATCTAAACACGGCTCCAGCCGATCCCAATTGCTCAATTCATACTCCCTTGTTTTTCACGGGGAGAAAATGCAGCTGGAGGACAGCATGAGAGTGGACTCCGGAGAAAGAATTGCCAGCAGGAGATGGCTGCGAGACTATATCGACATTGCGGCGCGTGGGAGGCTTACAGCATCCAGTCTAAATTTTCAACTGCACAGCGGCATATGCCCCGGCTGAGGAAGCCGTCAGAGGGCTATGTGCAAGTTGTGGAGGCACAGGCAGAGGGGAGAGCCCCGAGGTCGGCAGACCCTGGCGACTCGACGTCGGCGGACGTCGGCAGGCCGTCAGTCCACGTCGGCATTGATGTGCCGATCTCTCGTCGGCACTCAGCGCCACCGCGACTGCCCAGATCCTGCGGACATACCCATCCATCACCGAACTTGCGATTATAATTGGTGACACGACGCACAACGACTTCGCCGACACCTTGATCTCAGGGCTTATCATTCCCAACCCCGGTGGAGACGCAGCACTGTCCTTGGGAATTTATGTTATACGTCGGGGTTCACGGCCCCGGGGGCCTGTTCAGGCTGCATCGATTACGCTCTTTACCATTCCATCCTACAATCGCGGTGGAAGGTGGACGCTGGAAGGATGTTCCCTCAAGCGTACCACACTGCTAATGGAGCTGGGGCCAAAGCCGGATGCAGCGACTCTAGACGGCTACCACTAGTGCTGGCGAGGTTCAGTTCGGTTCAGGTTAAGAACCCTTTCCTCTAAATGCCTGAACCTCGCATTCGGTTCACCAAAACGTTGAACCCTGAACCTGAACATGGGTTCAGATTCAGTTCAGCGTCTGATTCGGTGTTCGACCGTGTTTGAACCTGGTCGTCCTGGGGAGGAAAACTGGAAGAAAAGTAATGACAAACCACATAATTTTCAGATATATGTGCTGAAATCCTTCAAAGGGAGGGCATAAGTGCCACAAATGGCCCACCAGTGATGTGTTTACGTGCGTGATGTGCGTCTAGAGACACCCGAGCAACATTCGGCGGGCATATAACTCAGCGAAATTTCAGGCGACGCGCTTCCATGTACTTGCTCCCTCCCATCCCCATCATACCTTATTTCGGTCCTGTATGTACGATAGCGACAGCCTTTTCGATAAGTCACCTGATAAATCACGAGATGTTGCTGTCGAGATGTTGCCTCCGAGTCCCACGCTTGCCGGCGCCTCTCTCGGAATCCGCCGTGTGCGGGCGAGCTCAGAATCCGCCGTGTGTGGGCGAACTACCGTGCCGAAGGCACGGGTTGAATATACTTGTTGGTCACTAACTGACAGTGAGGTGTGCTCACGTGACCGTCACGTTGCGTTGTATTCGACCAGGCGCGCTCGATTCGGATTTCTACCGAAAGGGATTGCTGCCTAAAACATGATAGTACCTTTTAAACCTAGCACATTAAAAGTCTCCAAAAAATTGAAACCCTCGCCAGGATGCAACACGGATAAGTGGCATTTCGAAGTCGAAGAGACTGGCGCGTGCATCACTGGCCTTTTGACAGATTTCTGGTGACCTTTTGGGGCTTGTGGGCTGGTGCACAAGGTCCCAAGGTCAAAAAGGTTGAAAGGTCTAAAATGACCCCCATGAAATGATGGACAAACCCCAGTACCATTTTGAAAAAAAAAATTGGGGCAAGAATATTACCTTGTGAAAATCACGACCTCTCTTGCGAAATTTTGACCTTTTTAGGCCTTGTTTGGCCTTGTACAAGGCCCACCAGAGATCTCTCAAAACTCTGATGTGGCACAGTGCCCATCAGACTTTTGACAAATAACTTGTGAGCTTGTACAAGGCCAAACAAGGCCACAAGCCCCATCAAACGGCGTGCAAGCTCACAAGGTCGCCAGATCCATCAGCCTTTTGACAGATTTGCGCATAGCTACGCCACTAGCGTTAATTTCAAGGCAATCGGCGAGCCTGCTCCGGAGAAGTACAATTCCCTCGAAGCGTATCACCAAGCGAAGAGCGCGAATGTACTCACCGCCATCGAGTTGTCGAAGCGGTCCAAGGGGCGGATCAATGCTTACAGTTTAAACCCAGGTGGTGCGGCCACTCTATGTGAAATGAATTGAGGGCCTGGCGGTGTGCAGCTACTTACACCAATATTACCCAGAAGGAGGAGTCCCTCGCCGCCTTCCTGGCCATTGGTATTTTGCAGTCTTGCAGTCAGTCATGAATCATTTATTCAATCTGTGTTCCACAGGCATACTTGATCAAGACGGTAAACCCAACACCGATGGATACCAGTGGAAGACAATTCCTCAAGGCGCCGCGACGTAAACTTGTTTGCATACACCGTATGCTCAGACTGACTTTGTCTGTTCAGGACTGTCGCAGCCGCGTTCGATCCGAGACTCAATGGTTTGTTCATGGAATTCATTGCTTTGTTAATTTTTAGAAGCTTACCGAGCTCTGTTCCAGATATACCAAGTGCATATCTCGATGATTCTACCGTGGCCAACGACAAGGTTGCTCTACATTGCTCCGATTCGGTCAATGCTGAGAAGTTGTGGACTGTTCCGGAGGAAATTATCGGCGAAAAGTTCACGTTCTGAGTCTAGAATAATAGTCCTTAGGTTAGATGAAGTTGGTAATCGTTTTTAGAGACTCGGAATTTGTTGTGGTCTCCCTGAAACCAATCCGAGCGATTCTCAATCGACGGATGGGCATTCTTTCATGAGAGTAACGCTTTCGGCTTAAAAAACAGGCTTGCATCTGCGCAAAGTTCAAACGGCCTTGTTTGGGATAGGGAAACCCGTTTGATGGCTTGAAAAAGGTATGTGGCTCAAATTCAATATTTTCAAGTCGACCCGACAGTGTTCTGCCCAAGGCAGTCCGCGTCACTGGAAACGATTATTTCAAAGAATGAAGAAACAGAGAACGGAATATACTGACCCGGCCATTATAACATGGCCAGACTTTAACTGAATCCTCATTCTTGTGTCTTTGTCGTAGAAATTATAGAGGCAAAATCCCAAAAAAGAAAAAAAATGTCTCACTGCGCCGTAGCATGATCTGCCTCAAATCGAACCGGGCTCCTGCTGAGCAATTACAAACTGATGTCAGATTCTACAAATTTCCCAGATGCGCATCAGCGCCAACAGGTCTTCGGCTTTCGTATATTCTATCCCCAGAATTCATTCACTCGAATTCATCATGTGTCCCCATGACATACTGTAGTATTTAAATCACTTCTCCCGGGCTGTGACCTGTGACCGCAAGATTCGAACTTTGGGTTTCGAAAATGCGTTGACTTGGCCGTGACATCCAAAAAAAAATCGAAAATCCGTTGGAGATTGGCGGAACAGCTCTGAGACCTTCAGAAATTACCAAAAAGCACCTCCGACCGTAATCAGATAGGAAGATCGCGCCAATAACCGGTGGAGATCAATCAGATTATATAACAATCTTTTTTGCGCCAATCCCGAGGATGAAGAGATGGGCGCCGACGATGCGGAGATTCCTACACAGGAGGTCATCCGCCACGTCGTCGCAAAGAAAACGGGCAAAAAACGTAAGGTCAAACCGGCCAAAGACTCCGGCAGTGTCGGTCTCGTTTCGTCTGCGCAGGCCGAGGACATTGATGCGGAGGTGACGGCTGTGGAAGGCATCGGGGGGAAAAACCCTACCATAGTTAATTTCGAAATTGTTACCGTTTGAAGTCATCAAGAACAAGTATTTTTCAGGAATTCCGGCAGCGTAGCGCGACACGTTCTCGCTGGTGGTATAAAATCCATCGGCAGCGCCTTGGATCAATTTTTTTTCGCTTGAGAATCGCGAGGAGAGGCTGTTAATGCTGCAAGGATTAAAGAAACAAAAAACTATGAAACAAAAGGCACGGACGGTGACCGAGGCAGAAGAAGCAAGGGTATACAGAGAGGTCTCCTGCAACGCAGAGCTAAAGGAAAGAGCTGTTCGGTGGACATGACCTGGTGAGCGGTTAGCATGGAAAACAAAATCCGAATTCCGGAAAGACGATCCAAGTCACTCAACGCTCTAACAATGTTAATTGCGAAGATAATCTAGGCGGTTATAGTGTAAGCGCATTCCGCTGGTAGAGATTGCGGGACTCAGCAGTTTTCG